TATTAATTGAGTTATCTTCTATTATTACGATATAAACTGTAATTGATATTAAATTGAGTTATCTGTATTTATAACAATATAAACTTTAATTGATATGTAGAGTTACCTCCCTTTATTACAATAAATACTGTAATTGATATAAGACTTATCTCCCATTATTACAATAGAAACTGTAATTGATATTAAAATGAGTTATCTCCTATTATTACAATATAAACTGTAATTGATATTAAATTGAGTTATCTCCCTTTATTACAATATAAACTTTATTTGATATATAGAGTTAACTCCCTTTATTACAATAAAAACTGTAATTGATATATAAAATTGAGTTATCTCCCTTTATTACAATAAAAACTGTAATTGATATATAAAATTGAGTTATCTCCCTTTATTACAATATAAACTGTAATTGATATATAGAGTTATCTCCCATTATTACAATATAAACTTTAATTAATATTAATTTGAGTTATCCCCCATTATTACAATATAAACTTTAATTGATTATAAATTGATTTATATCCCTTTATTACAATATAAACTGTAATTGATATATAGATATATCTCCCATTATTACAATATAAACTTTAATTGATATTATTTTGAGTATCTCCAATTATTACAATAGAAACTGTAATTGATATCAAAATGAATTATATCCCTTTATTACAATATAAACAGTAACTGATATATAAAGTTGATTTATCTCCCTTTATTACAATACAATTGATGTATAAATTAACTGTAATTGATATATAAAATTGTCTTATCTCCCTTTATTACAATATAAACTGTAATTGATATATAGAGTTATCTCCCATTATTACAATATACACTGTAATTGATCTTAAATTGAGTAATCTCCCTTTATTACAATATAAACTTTAATAGATATAGGGTTAGGGTTTTGATATATAAAATTGAGTTATCTCCCACTATTACAATATAAATTTTAAATGATATATAGAGTTATCTCCCATTTATACAATATAAACTTTAATTGATATTAATTAGAGTTATCTCCCATTATTACAATATAAACTCTAATAAATATTAAATTGAGTTATCTCCCATTATTACAATATAAACTCTAATAAATATTAAATTGAGTTATCTCCCTTTATTACAATATAAACATTAAATGATATATAATATTGAGTTATCTCCCTTTATTACAATATAAAATGTAATTGATATATAGAGATATTTCTCATTATTACAATATAAACTTTAATTGATATCATTTTGAGTTATCTCCCATTATTACAATATAAACAGTAATTGATATATAAAATTGAGTTATCTCCCTTTATTACAATATAAACTCTAATAAATATTAAATTGAGTTATCTCCCATTATTACAATATAAACTCTAATTAATATTAAATTGAGTTATCTCCCTTTATTACAATATAAACATTAAATGATATATAATATTGAGTTATATCCCTTTATTACAATATAAACTGTAATTGATATATAGAGATATTTCCCATTATTACAATATAAACTTTAATTGATATCATTTTGAGTTATCTCCCATTATTACAATATAAACAGTAATTGATATATAAAATTGAGTTATCTCCCTTTATTACAATATAAAATGTAATTGATTTTAAATTGAGTTATTTCCCTTTACTACACAATAAACTTTAATTGATATATAGAGTTATCTCCCATTTTTAAAATATAAACTGTAATTGATATTAAATTGAGTTATTTCCCTTTTATTACAATATAAGCTGTAATTAATATATAGAGTTATCTCCCATTATTATAATAAAAACTATAATTGATATAAATTTGAGTTCTCCCATTATTACAATAGAAACTGTAATTGATATTAAATTGAGTTATCTCCTATTATTACAATATAAACTCTAATTGATATTAAATTGAGTTATCTCCCTTTATTACAATATAAACTGTAACTGATATTAAATTGAGTTTTCTTGCTTTATTACAAAATAAACTGTAATTGATATTAAATTGAGTAAACTCCCTTTATTATAATATAAGTTTTAATTGATATATTGAGTGATCTCCCTTAGTTACAATATAAACTGTAATTAATATATGGAGTTATCTCTCATTATTACAATATAAACTGTAATTGAAATAAATTTGATTTATCTTCCATTATCAAAATATTAACTATAATTTATATATAGAGTTATCTCCCTTTATTACAATATCTAATCCTATTATTACACTATATACTTTAGGTTTTTAAGGTTTAGGTTTAGGGTAAGGTTTTTAGGTTTAGGGTTAGGGTTTTAAAGGTTTTGGTTTTAAGGTTTTTAGGTTTTTAGGTTTTTAGGGTTAGGGTTAGGGTTAGGGTTAGGGTTTAGGGTTAGGGTTAGGGTTAGGGTTAGGGTTAGGGTTAGGGTTAGGTTAGGTTTAGGTTTTTTGGGTTAGGGTTAGGTTAGGGTTAGGTTAGGGTTAGGTTAGGGTTAGGTTAGGGTTAGGTTAGGGTTAGGTTAGGGTTAGGTTAGGGTTAGGGTTAGGGTTAAGGTTTAAGGTTTAAGGGTTAGGGTTAGGGCTAGGACTCATAAGGTTTTTGCGACCAAGTTGTCGCAAAA